TATTCAAAAACTCAATCTATCAAAGTTTCAAAATTAATATTAGGTTTACTAACACCTATCCCGTATCGGTCATTTTACAACGAGTGTTAACAAGTGTTAATATGGACCTCGCTAATATGGATAATAAATTAAAGGTAATGTATTTTTATATTTCGTTTATAAATACGATTAGAAAAGTATTTTTGATTAAATTACAATAGGTCTATTCCAACAACGATCAGAAACCAGTCACTGACACCAGGATTCTGCGCAGTTGATTATTTCGACAGCCAAATTATATACTGCGCAGAATCTTGACGTCAGTGACTGGTTTCTGATCGTTGTTGAAACAGACCTAAAATATTGTACAAATATTTACTCTAAAGTATAACTTGTTTACTTTACGATACGGTTTTTTAAATTCTAATAGTTACTTTATTGTAGTAAACGATTGTCAGTCAGTCTGATAGTTATTAAAAAAATAAACTTATATAAAAATCATCCATTTTATTTCCACAAAGTCCAACAGGTTATGGGCCCAGTCTACGATTAACATAAAAAAGGAAATAAAAGTGATGTCTGGAGTATTACAGCATATACCGCAGCTATCTGCAGAAAATTTTTCAAACTGGCGATTCCGAGTCGAAGCGATCTTACAAGAAAAGCAATGTAAAAATGTAATAACAAAAGAACTATATACTCCTGATAAAAAAAGAGGATTTACTAGTAAAGGATGCTAGAGCTCGTTCTATAATTATACAGTGCGTAACTGATCGTCATATAGAGTATATTAAAGAGTCAAAAACTGCTTTTCAAATGATGACAACATTGGAAAATGTATTCGAAAGAAAAAGCTCTTGTTTCAAAATTTTTTATCAGAAAGAAGCTTTTGTCTTTAAAATGTTCCAAAGACAATTTACAAGATCATTTCGTAGAGTTTGATCAGAGAACTGGAAGCCACAGGAACTAAACTTGATGATAGCGACAAAATTTGCCACTTGCTGCTCACAATCCAAGACACATACGATACTGTAATCGCAGCACTAAAAACATTAACATATGACACTATTACATTAGAATTTGTAAGTAGACTTTTGGATGCAGAATTGAAAAATAGTCAGCATCAAAGAGAACCAAATCCAAGCCAAGCGAGTGTACCTTCTTTAATTCCCACAGAGAAGACAGACGATGTTATGAATGTGGTGGAAAAAATCACTTAGCGTCACCGTGTAGAAAGAAGAATAGAGGTTTCCATAATCAAAAACCTAGTAGAGCCACCACATAATTTGATTTTCTCTTACTATACGGAGAATGGTCGCTCTGCGCAGCTTTCTGAGTGCCTCTTAAAAGGAGATAGAAAACTCCGCCATTTTGATGCCTTATTACGTGTTGCCTACATCTTGGCGCAATATTTTTAATATTTTGCTTGCTGCTGTCAGTGAATATTATTTTTGGAGTCACAGTTTATTGCCAATGAATCAATTAGCTCACTCGGACCAGTTGAAAGTTCCAAAATAACATCCACTCCAGGGATACACATTCAGAATGAGCAGAAGACTGCTGTTTTATTATAGGCGGTTGTCATATATTGTATTATCCGAGTTGCGCAGTGTATAAACTGGAACATTGAGATCAAAAGTGCCGACGCAGAGTGAGCGAACTGATTCTTTAGCAATAAACTGTGGTAAATGCATCAAAATGGCCGCGCCCTATGTTGGGTGTGTCGGACTTCTCTCTTGCACCGTATAGTAATCAAAGTATGTGAGAGCCACGCATAGTTATAGAAGTAGACCCGGAAGATACTCATACTCGAGAAGAAATTATAGCGATAAAGCAAATATCGCAGAAGAGGGTGACGATTACTATGAAGATGAAGTATCATTTAGTGCAGAGATGAAAGTGGAAGAGAATGTAGATGTTATTAATTTTGTCATAGACTCTGGAGCGTTCGACCATTTAATAAAGGAAACAGAAGAACAAAGCATGACTGACGTTAAGATATTAAATTATATAGTTAGAATAAGAATTGCAAATGAGCAATCTTTAGTAGCAGAGAAGAAAGGAAAAATAAGACTAAAACGTGGAAACAAAAACGTTACATTGGAAGCATTAATTGTTCAAGATCTTATCTGTAATTTACTCTCAGTAAGAAAAATAAATGAATCTGGTAAAAAAGTAGAGTTTTATAAAAATAAAGATCTCCGATAACAAAGGCTTAGTTATGATGTGTAACCTAGTAGGAAACTTGCACATAGCCACTTTCAAAAGACCAGCAAAAGAAACCAGCATGATAACTAGTGCTCACCTATGGCACAGAAGATTAGGCCATTTGAATAGAAAAGGCTTACAAATTTTGAAATTACCAATTAGTCCAGATATGTGCAAGCCTTGTATGGAAGGCAAATCCACAAGACTATCTTTCAAAAGCTTAGAGCACCCAAGATCAACAAGAGTAGGAGAGTTTCTGCAGAGCGATTTAGGGGGTCGGTCCTAACAGTACTCCCACGTTGAATAATGAAAAATATTATCAAACAATTATAGATGATTTTTCTCAATTCACTGTAATCTATTTATTAAAATTTAAAGCTGAAACAAAATATAACCTCATAAATTTTAATCTTGAAATGGAGGCCAAAGGAAACATTGTAAGCAGAATAAAAACCGACAAGGGTGGAGAATTTACGACAAAAGATTTCAAAAGTTTCTGCTGTACTAAAGGTATATCACTAGAATACACGGTCGGATATTCTCTCCAACAGAATCCCAGCTAGCACAAAAACATCCCATCTACGTTAATAAGCTGCAATTTTAGGCTCTTTAAGCTCGCATGCAATGTACTGTTAATGTAACCCTATCATCCCTGCAACCACCGAATGTCCGCAACGGCAAGACTTTTATAGCACATCTCACAGAAGTTAAAAAGTGAAGTTCGGAAAACATCACACTAGCACTTTTACGGTACTTACCCTGAAAGTTGCTCTGAAACTTTCTATAGATGTTATAATGTGAATTCATTCTACAGCATGTCCACGGATGGACTTAACAATACTTGTAAAAATATTTATTTTAAATTTAAAAGTACTTCTTCATAATTTCTTTTGCTTGTTAAATAAATACGATTAACGTTGAGAAATTATGAAAAAGACCTTTTGAAAAATTTAAAATAAATATCTTTACAAGTATAGTTATGACCATCCTTGGATACACTATATTCAAAATAGTATATTGAGGATATAGTAAAATCTGAAGAAAACAAAATAAAAAATTGTATAAATTTATTATTAAAAAGCTTTTGAAATCAAGAACCAATATCATACAAGTAGAGGTAGGTATTAATAATATAGGTAAAAAAAAACACTGACAAATTGGACAAAAGTTGGTATAAAGGGTATATAAGGAATATCTCATAAAGGGTATATAAGGAATATCTCAAAGGTTCACTAGAATCGAAAACACTGAACGCTTGCACGAAAGAGTATAATAAGGTACCTATATTGCAAAGGTTCACTGGTAGCTAAAATGGTGCACGATTGTACAAAAGTAGTAAAAAGTGTATTTATATAAGGTATATTTCAAGTCACTAGATTTTTATTAAGATGGCAGTTGTAGGATGCTAAAAAAAGATATTTGCCTACAACTGGTACTAATCATAGTTTTAATATGATATAAACTGAATATTGATAAATGTAAAGTCATAAGGTTTAATAAAACAGCTAATATCATTATGCATGATTGTCATTGCAGGTTCTGAACTAAGTTTTGAGCAAACTATAAATGATCTTGATGTTATTTTTGAGAGGGACCTATAAGAGTTTGGAATGCAGATGTCGAGAAGCATCATTTGTTTTCCTGTATAAGTTATTGAACGGTTTGATTGATAGTGACAGCCTGGTACACTTTATTAGATTCCTTGTTCCTGCCAGACTTACTAGGCATATGAAACTATTTTATGTAAATGCTCATATAACTAACTATGGACAGAATTTATTTGTAGACCAACTGATGTCCAATTACAATAAGTATTTTTCAAATTATGACATTTTAAAAGGTTTATTTTTTAAAGTGTCAACTTTTATTACACTATTGACTTCATTTTTATACTGTGACAATTTTATTAATTTCTTTTTTATTTTATTTTGATATTTTAACCATTTAGAACTTTATATATCAGTAGCGTACTGTAAACAAATAAATATGTGAACTTAATTACATAGTTTCTTCCGTAAAAATAACTTTGTAGATAATAAATTTACTTGTTTAATTATTATTAAGAAAATAAATATATATATAAAGAAAATAAAAAATATGCTCGTTTAAATCGTTGCACCTATTTTTAGTTGATTTTTACTTACTTTGTTTTTTTAAATAAATAATAACATTTATTTTGACTTTTACAAATTTTATACTTAATAATGGATGTTCAACTTATACAGAACAATGTTTTTTAGCTTGATATTCTGCTATGAAAGAAAAAGAAATAATCTCAGATGTTATATATTCTTCTTCAACCAATTCTGTATTAACTTTAGCTTCTAAAATTCCTGAGATTTTTACTAGAATTATAATCCAGCACAAAGGAAACCTAAAACACAATATTTTTAAAATTTATTTTTAGTGATTAAAATATTACACTAGGGCGACCATACTTACAGCAATTTTTCTGTATTGTAAAGCATTTTTAAAGTTTGTCCAGCAATTCGTATTGTGCAGCAAACGTACAGCAAAATGGCATAGGTATATATCCAGTGAAATTCTGTATTTATCCACCAAAACGTCACTACTGTCCAGCAATGGTAATACTTAATTTACTGAAACGTAACAAATTTAAATGTTATTTATCTTTAGTGAACTACATGAGCACTTCTATACTGCTGTTCTAGCAAGAAAGGTTTTATCTGCAAAATTAGCAGTTTTTTTTATGTGCATTTGTCTACATTTTATCTTTCTCGATACTGAAAAGGAATGTCTTATTTGTAACAAAGGTACTAAAATGTTAAAAAGTTACACAAAAAAGGTTTAAAAGATAATAAATATAAATTTTCAGATAGGACTTCTCTTGTTAGGATGGCAGTATATGACTTCTCTGTTTTTGTATTTTTATAATTGGGAGTAGGGTTGAGTATCGGTCAAAGGTATCAATACCGGTATCATGCGAGATACTTTGTGGTAGAGGCATCGATACTGTTCGATATTATGTTAAAGATATTGATATTTATAAGTCTCGAGTAACAAAGTATCGAAAAAGTAAAAGATTTTTGTTAAACGGCTGGCAACCCCCATTAAACAGGACGGAGTAGGGAACTTAACTAATAACAAGAGTGCATCAGTAAAGTATATTCTGTAGTCGACACCTTTTCTTTCTCTACCTGGTACAAGTTATAGTGTCAATAACTGGGGCAATTTACCTTATAATTAAATAACAAAAAAACAGTGGTAACGCTTAATCATATTACCAAGTTTCACTACATGCAAAAACTAAAATATTTCAGTAAAAATATTTGAACAAACCTTATAATCTCTGACCACACACACAGCGATACAATACTTGCTTCTAAGTATCACTATGGCGATAGTATTGGTAATTCAGTGCCTAAATATCGATACTTTCATTGTTTAATATCGTTACTTCTATAGTATTAAGCCATCAATAAGATCCCTATTATCGTGTATAATAAATATTTCATCATTTAATTGTATCTACTTGTTTACAATGATTTATTTTTTATTGTATTTGGAAATTGAAATTTTACCATCTTAAGGTGCGTTTAGTCAGCCTGATTTTGTTTTAAGCACTAACATAGACATTAACATAAACATTAATTTAAGGATTTTAAAACAAAACCGTTTATACAGAAAATTTAAGCATTAACATAAGATTTGACAAATCATACAAAATGGAAAAAAGGCGTATGGGAGCTGCTTATGAAATTGCTCTGCTAACTATCTCACAATTACTATTAATAAAAGTGCATAAAAAGAGTTTAGAAGTTCAAAAGTTAAAAGTAGCTTAACCTCACTTTTTGAACGCACATGCGCAATTGTATTTTCGACATAAATTTAAGCATTAAGTTGGATTTTATTTATCTTCACTAAATTTATGTTAATGTTTATGCTTGTGTTATTCTGTATAAACAGGTACACTGAAATGTATTGAAATTAACTTTTATGTTAATGTCTATGTTAATGCTTAAAACTAAATCAGGCTGACTAAACGCACCTTAAAACAACAGACAATAAATTAGAAAATTTATTGAAAAGAAGAAAACAACTTACCAAACTTATTCAAACGTATAGTTTCCAACATGGAGGAAGGAAGGATTATTAGTTTCCAATTTCTTTAAAATCTGAAATACGTACAAGAAAAAGTGACAAGTGACATTTTTTTATGTTTTGTTGGTTATGACAAACGAATGGCTACGTTCGAAAGTCCACAGTACTTCTCGTGGAAACTTTTTTAGCAAGTTACTTAATTTCGTTGTGTTATCATAACAGGCAGGTTAAATACGTAAGTAACAAATAGATGTTTCGCGAGGTTTTGATTTCCCTCAACAACTTCTCATTAACGTTGCAATTACGTTGTATGGGTATGTTATTATGTTCCCTTAAAACAACATCGCCGAAAGGCTTGGTAACGTTATGTGCTAGCTGGGGAACGACTCAATAGAACTCTATTTGATAAAGTAAGAACTATGTTTGCCGAAACTAGTATGTCTAAATTTCTATGGGGTGAAGCTATTCGTTGTACAGCTTATCAGTTAAATAGATCACCTTCAAACGTATTAGAAGGTAATACACCTGTAGAAATATGCCGAGGAAGACACAACTTAAATTAAAAAATTTCGGGTCAAAAGCATATGCTTATAAACTACCAAAAGCAGACAAACTTGAGACAAGAGCTAAAGAAGCACGAATGGTGGGATATGCAGGAGGATATAGACTTTGGGATCCTAAAACCAATGAAATTTTCATATCAAGAGGCGTAAGGTTTGATGAAAATAATATTAACTATTTAGAAAATGAAATTATTACTAATAAAGACAATTAATCTAAAACGCTGGAGCGTAACCAAACTCACTTTATTAACAAAGTTTTGGAAAAATTTGGGATGTCGGATTGAAAACCAGCTTTAACACCGATGGAAGTTGGTTTTAGCTATGATAATGAGCAAGAAATCGATGAGAATGTTCCATATAGAGAACTTGATGTATCTAGCTACGACTAGTAGACCAGATATCGTATATGCCACGTCTTATGTTAGCAGATTGTTGGATAAGCCAACAAAAAAATCTGATGTGTCCAACACATGACTTTCCTATCTAGTTATTATAGGCGGTTATTTTGTACAACCTATTATACCTCCTCTATAAATATTTAGAGAATAAACTAAATATATACATTTTCCACATACATTTAAGGTAGTTCACTCGTAAAACGGCTTTTCTTAAGAATTCAATAAAATTGAAATATAAGGTTAATGAAAGTGTATTTTATGTAAATAAAAAAATTAAATTTTTTGACCATCTGTCAAACGAGATATTAACAATCAAAATGTGCATAATTAACACTCTTGAAGCCTCTCATGTACCCAAGTAATGCATTTATTTCCAGATATCTCGAAAACTGTTCTTACCATATTTTTTAAAAACTAATGTAATGTAAATCAAGAAGTTATAAAATGTTCTAAAGAAACGCTGAATTTTTTGACCTTCTTAGTAAAAAGATATATATTTTTAAAATAAAAATATTTTTAAAGCAATCGACGCGTAGTTGCGTAAAATTATTACAACTTGGCAACGTTGTATACGCTGCAATCAACGCGTTGTACCAAACACTCGATCAGCTAAGAGGATGTTATAACCTCGCGACGTTTCCTTGGAAAATTAATTCGTCCGCTGTATTTGAGAACTGGAATCAGCGGTTCTGTTTGAACCAAAACAAACCCTTAAAATTAATATGAGGAAGTCACAAATTTCTATAGCAAACCATTCATGTATTTATGAGGTTGCCGGATGGATGTTATTAAAATCCATATATAAAATGATATAAGCTTACATGTGTTTTGTACAGTCTCTTACAAAAATAAAATTGATTAGCATTGAGAATTTCGAACTATTGGTATTCACCATTAAGCGATATTTTTATGTACTGTCGCGAGTGAACTACCTTAACTCGAAATATTTTTTTACAGATATTCATTGAAAACGAAAGTACTGAAAAATTTAAATTTAGTACTTTACTCCAATTTTTCCATTACGGTTCATTTTCGAAAAATCATGTAAAAACAAAAATTATAGAGATCAATATCGCAAACAACTTTTAGTTTAACAATTTTCTTAAAAATCAGAATTTTGTACATTTTGTCAAATTTCTCGAATACGGACCATTTCAGGAAATTTTGACATAAAACAAAAATTATAGATAATAATATTAGCAGTAACTTTTATTTGAAGAATTTTCTCCTCCAAACATAAATAACAGATATATTCCATAAAATATAAAAACGGCCTCCCATAAAGTACCCCCCAGATGTTCCGACTTTGTCCAAAATCTAATCATTTTACGTCAGGCCGAAATAAACCTTAAGTTTAAAATTTAATGTTTTTTTCTTAATCCGTTTTTGAGTTTTCTTCAAAATTCGAAATTTACACATTTTCTCAAATATCTCGAATACGGTCCATTTTAGAGAAATTATGTATGGAATAAAAATTATAGAGAATTATATTACAAACAACTTTTATTTGAACAATTTTTATCAAAAGAATGTGTCCAACACATGACTTTCCTATCTAGTTATTATAGGCTTTTTCCGGTTATTTTGTACAACAAGAGCACCTCTATAAATATTTAGAGGATAAACTAAATATATACATTTTCCACATACATCTACCTCGAAACATTTTTCTATAGATATTCATTGAAAACGAAAATACTAAAAAATTTAAATTTAGCAATCTTTCTCCAATTTTTCCATTACGGTTCATTTTCGAAAAATCATGTAAAAACAAAAATTATAGAGATCAATATCGCAAACAACTTTTAGTTCTAACAATTTTCTTAAAAATCAGAATTTTGCACATTTTGTCAAATTTCTCGAATACGGACCATTTCAGGAAATTTTGACATAAAACAAAAATTATAGATAATAATATTAGCAGTAACTTTTATTTGAAGAATTTTCCCCTCCAAACATAAATAACAGATATATTCCATAAAATATAAAAACGGCCTCCCATAAAGTACCCCCAGATGTTCCGACTTTGTCCAAAATCTAATCATTTTACGTCAGGCCGAAATAAACCTTAAGTTTAAAATTAAATGTTTTTTCTTTATCCGTTTTTGAGTTTTCTTCAAAATTCGAAATTTACACATTTTCTCAAATATCTCGAATACGGTCCATTTTAGAGAAATTATGTATGGAATAAAAATTATAGAGAATTATATTACAAACAGCTTTTATTTGAACAATTTTTATAAAAAGCATGTGTCCAACACATGACTTTCCTATCTAGTTATTATAGGCTTTTTCCGGTTATTTTGTACAACAAGAGCACCTCCATAAATATTTAGAGGATAAACTAAATATATACATTTTCCACATACATCTACCTCGAAACATTTTTCTATAGATATTCATTGAAAACGAAAATACTGAAAAATTTAAATTTAGCACTCTTTCTCCAATTTTTCCATTACGGTTCATTTTCGAAAAATCATGTAAAAACAAAAATTATAGAGATCAATATCGCAAACAACTTTTAGTTCTAACAATTTTCTTAAAAATTAGAATTTTGCACCTTTTGTCAAATTTCTCGAATACGGACCATTTCAGGAAAATTTGACATAAAACAAAAATTATAGATAATAATATTAGAGTAACTTTTAATTGAACAATTTTCTTCTCCAAACATAAAAAATAACAGATATATTCCATAAAATATAAAAACGGCCCCCCATAAAGTACCCCCCCAGATGTTCCGACTTTGTCCAAAATCTAATCATTTCACGTCAGGCCGAAATAAACCTTAAGTTTAAAATTTAATGTTTTTTTCTTTATTCGTTTTTGAGTTTTCTTCAAAATTCGAAATTTACACATTTTCTCAAATATCTCGAATACGGTCCATTTTAGAGAAATTATGTATAGAATAAAAATTATAGAGAATTATATTACAAACAACTTTTATTTGAACAATTTTCATAAAAAATTATTTTTTTTACATTTTGTCAAATTTCTCGAATACGGACCATTTTAGGAAAATTTTGCATAAAACAAAAATTATAGATAATTATATTTGAAGAATTTTCTTCTCCAAACATAAATAACAGATATATTCCATAAAATATAAAAATGACCACCTATAAAGTACCCCCCCAGATGTCCCGACTCTGCCCAAAATCTAATCAGCTCATTGGACGCTGAAACAAAGCTTAAGTTTAAAATTTGGTGTTTTTCTGTGTATCGGTTCATGAGTTATGCGTTATACAGACAGACAGACAGACAGACAGACAGACAGACACGCACGCACGCACGCACGCACGCACACACACACACACACACACACACACACACACACACACACACATACACATACACACACACATACACACACATACACACACACACACACACACACACACACACACACACACACACACACACACACACACACACACACACACACACACACACACACACACACACACACACACACACACACACACACACATACATACACACACACACACACACACACACACACACACACACACACACACACACACACACACACACACACACACACACACACACACACACACACACACACACATCATCGCGAAAATAGTCAAAACGGATTCAGGGGACCTCAAAACGTAAAAATCCGTCGAAAACTCGAGGTCGAAAAAAATCATGATTCCTATACTTTCCTTATATCTGTATACAGATAGGAAAGTAAAAATCATGGACAACCGCCAAAAGAATTTTTAGATATCTACATAACACCAAAGCATTGAGTCTTGTTTACATTAAGGAAGAAAGAGACGACATTTGGAAATTAAAAGCTTTTTCCGATGCACACTGGGGCAAAGGCATTACGAGGAGAATGTTATACACACAGAACAATTACTTTTAGAATGGAAACTGCAATGTTAAAATTTGCGACAGTTTTGTAACACCCGGTGGGCGTTCTTTGAACTATTTGGCGGAAGTGGCGCCATCTCGCGGTCACTTTAGTTAATACAAAACGCGGGAACATTCAAAATGGTCCTTCAATATTTAGTTTAAAAGTGGTAGTCAAATTAAGATTTGTTCATACCAACTCCTTTTTTACGTTTATTGTAGCAATAAAATTATATTTGTTACAATAAAGCAAAAAATGAGTAGTATGAACCAATATTAACTTTACTACAAGCTGAAATATTTTTACAAAAAATTAAAAAGCATGATCAACAAAATTAATTTATTAAAACAAAAAAAAAAAACAAAATAGAATAATTAAATGTAGAGTGTTAATTAGCTGGAAAGTTAAGTCATTGTCTACAGAGGTTGAAGAGTTTTATCTAAAACAAAAAATAAATATTAATCAACTTATAAATCAAGAAGGGTACAGGAACAAAAAAGCAGCTAAGCCACATTTTTATCAAAATTGAACTGGTCCGCCCTATTTTGTAAATTACCAGTATTAGCAAATGCAAAACAGTGCATTTAAAATTATGTCCAAGGACTTTCCTACTGTTTGTTTGTCATTTTTAGTATTTAGAATAAACTGTCTGGTAAATTAAGTGGTAAAGTACAATATAATCAGGCAACATTTAAACAAAGTAACATCTTTTTGTAATCAATTACCTTAAAGTATCAAAAGTTTGTATTTAGTCAGTCTAAATTAAATTTGGTTTTCTGAACATTTTGGTAATTAATTGTGACTAGGCCCCTTTTTTTCCTGAACCCTTCAAATCTATTGGGGAGCACAGAAAGTGAGGCATAAATAAAAAAAAGGTATACTGACCATTACTTCCCGGACTATGCTATTTTGTCTTCCACAATCCAATATTGCCATTCCAAACGGCTTGAAGAAAGTTTGTACTAGAACAAATAAAAAAACAGTAAAAGTAACAATCTGAACTAAATCAATATAAAAATCAGATGTGAGGCATGAATACAAAAAGTACAGTGACTATTACTTCCCTGACTAGGCTGTTTTTGTCTTCAACGATGCAATACTACTGCCACTCCAAACGGCTTGAAAAAGTTTGTACTAGAACAAATAAAAATACAGTTAGATCGCTGCGTGCACCAAGAACTTTAAACATATCTTCACATACTAAATAGTTTTTACAAATTTGTTGTTTTATTCTTGAAAAATGGACTGGGAACACCCAATACTCAAATATGAAATAAATCGTTATTAGGATTTCAGAGTGTTTACAAAACAATTTGGCATACAACAATACGATATATTACAGCTTTTGTAACTAAAAATGACCACAAAAATTTAAAATAAGCTCAATCGTCAGCAAGATCAAGTAAACAAATTGAACATTTAAAACACAATTGAACAAGACCAAGTTGACAATACAATAAACAATTATTTACAAAATACTTACTATTTATTCATCCAGGATCCAGAGCACACCCAAATACAAACAAATAATAATTATTGACAATATGATATTGATAAACACAAAAATACAGGTAAAATGGCAAATGTCATTCACCGCGAGGTAATCGATAATGGATGCCTGACAATTGACAAATGACACTCCCACTCTTTCCACCATCAATTGTAGATTTCTGTAAATTGTTGTGTACAGCGCCATCTAGAATCTGTTCCTTGAAACAAAAATATAGTTTCAGCTCGGGCTATACCAGTTACCGATACCTGGTTATACATTAACTGTAGATGTTCAGGCTGTCAAAATTTGTCCTATAATTAATAGAGCTGTAAAAGTAACGAGAAAATCAATACCCGTATGTATTCGTTACTTCGGATCTGACTACCCGTATAAAAATATTCGTTACTCGTTACTTTCGTTACTGTGATACGAATCTACAGAACGCGCATCGTGTGGGCCTCGCACACGTCTATGCAGATGCGGAATTGATGTCGGTAACTAATCGTACGTACGGATTGCTTCGGTTGTTAGGTTTTGGTACTGTCTAACAGATTAGCATCAAGGCCACACTCGCATTTCGCATCGCTCAACGGGCCATCTCGCATACCGAACCAGTGGTGGTATGTATTATCATTATTATTGTGCGTTATGCGACGATGCGGATGCGAGTAACGAAATTTAAAATGCAGTAACGAATTCGTATCTGACCGACTACCCGTTACTGAGTAACGAATACATACGGTTTGCCACAGCTCTAATAATTAATGCTAGTGCCATTTATTATAAGACGAAGTTGAATTTTCACAACTTCACGATATATAATTTAGCGACACACCAATGTAATTGCTATTGGTTAAATGAAACAGAAGGTGACCTATCAGCATCTACTTTTGCAAGCATTTTGATCCACTACATCAAAGAAAAGTGTAGTGATCCCAAACTTCCTATTACAATTTATTCAGATGGGTGCTGTTACCAAAATACGAATGTAGATATGAGCAACGCTTTGTTTCAATATTCAATAATGTTATTATTGAACAAAAAAATCCTAGAGAAGGGACATACGCAAATGGAATGCGATGCAGTGCATAGATTGAGAGGAAAAAAAATCGTTTTATTCACATTTGTCCAGTAACTATATAAATATTACGAGAGAAGCAAGATGTAATCCCTTTCCTATGGATACTTATTACGTAACAAATAGCTTTTTCAAAATTTTTCACTGCCATCAACATGGAGTTATAATTCCATACGTCCTGGAAGGAAAACAAATGAGCCTACAGTGACGGACCTTAGATATTTGCATAGTCCAGACACAGAAACAAATTTTGTTCAAAATCAATTTTGATGATGAAGCCATTACCTTGTAGAAACGTAAAATATCCTAATTTTGACGAGTATCCAGCTTTACACAATGAACTACTTAAGATTAAATATCAAAAGTTCTGCAAGAATTGAAAGCAGTTCTACCAGCTGACTGTAGAATGTTATGACAATTTATCACATCATTTACAATAATAGTTACCTACTAAGTTGATAAATAAACTTATCGAATATTTTGTGTTAAATTTTTTGCACTGCAATACTTTGTAGTTAACATGTACTTAATATTATTTTAATTCTTCTTGAAGTTAAGTTTTCCTATAATAAAACAAACTTTAAAAAATATTAATGGGTTATTTTTATAACAAATTTCGAATATACTTACCATATTAGCTCTTTCTTGGTATATTTTCAAGAAAATAATATCCTGTATCTGATTCCTTATTTGTTTTTTGCTAATAACCCGTATCTACAATCAGATTAGTTAAAAATGGCTTTAATATAATTTTATCATAGTTTCATTTTCAGAATCTGAAATTATTTTTTTTTAAAGTATAATGAACAATTTTGCCAAAGAACTAAATAAAACGTTTTTTTCATCTCCTGTAAAACTTGGTATTTTTAAGATACGGGGTAATAACATTAAGCCATCGCATAGCTTTTTCACACTCAAGAGTGGCTAGACTTTTGAACTTTCTTCCCAACCAGTTTCTCCTGATCCTTCCAATACACAATCCCACATAAACAAGGTATCAACTTTCACAGGCACGTTAGGGGTCCATGGTATTTCGCTTATACCTCCGTAGACATTAATTATTATTCATAAAATAAATTTTCAAAAAATCCTTTTTTAAGTTAAACAAATCCAATTCAAATATAACAATTTTTATTTCATAAAACTATAAAATTTTAATAGTAATTAGTTATTTATAAAAAAGTACAAATTTCATATGAAGCTTTAAATTTAACTGAGTTTAAACATGCAAACCACAGTTTTTACGTATACCAACTGTCATATCGTTGGAAAAGTAATGAATACTATTGTAAGATGGAACTGAGATGTGTTAAGATACCAAAACTAAGTAAAACTATAAAAAATAAAGAAAATTAGGTACAGAAAAATATCAAAATAAACAAAATAATTTTCTATCTGTACTCATTCACGGTAAATGGTAATATTGGCAAATTCCACCTATAAAAAAATTATTAAGTAACAATAAAAAACCAATGGATTAATTTAATAATATGTCAAAACAAAATTCAGTCAGAGTCTGTGATCATAGAATAAAATTAGAATATTATATACTATTAACAGTCTTCTTAGCAGCTTCATCCAAATTGTCTGCCGTAATTATATTCATTCCAGAGCTGCTGATGATTTTTCTAGCTTCAATTGCATTGGTTCCTTCTAATCTGACAATCAACGGTATTTTTAAAGTCATCGTTTTCAAGGCAGCTATAATTCCATTGGCGATGGTAGCGCAATTGACAATACCGCCGAAAACGTTAACAAGAACAGCTTTGACGTTATCGTCAGATGTGATTATTTTAAAAGCAGCCTTAACTTGGTCTTCTTTAACGCCACCTCCTACATCTAGGAAGTTAGCTGGATCGCCTCCATGAAGTTTGATAATGTCCATCGTTGCCATAGCTAGACCAGCTCCATTTACCAAACATCTAAAAGTAAAACTCTAGACACACATTGTTCACAATTTAAGCACAAAATAAATAAATGGGTTTTATATGTTACCGATAATACCTCACCAGGTATTTAATTACGTCAAAATAAAAAAAAGCAGAGATAAAAATACTTTTATGGAATTATTCCTCTGGTGATTTAAACGTAGATATGTTAGTACCTAATTCTACCCTAAATCTACTTGAGCTTATGGCTATGTTAATGTTATTACTGGGCTAACTCGTATTTCTGAAAATTTTGACACATTACTAGATCTGATCTTTATTAATTGTAAAGACTTTTGTCAAGATAGCACTACCATCCCCTTTCACTTGCACACTAAATATCGCTGTCAAAAAATCGAGGCAGAAATTCGTTACGAAAAGGAAATTTAAGAACCTAAATAATGAACAATTTAATTGTGAGTTGCAAGCTATTTACTGGGATGGTATATTCCTTATTGAGTCAAGAAACCACCAGATCCTTGGCTTACTGATTGCTTGTGCATTTTTTTTTAACAAAGAATCTGTTTCACGAATTTGCACCTGTTTTGGATGCTAAAAACCCTCGTTCAGTTGGGAAATTTATTTATAAAGTACGAAAGTAAACTGTTCTAGTATTTGTAGACAAAATGTAAAACGTAATCTTAATTCTCGGGCCAGCAGACTAAAGCACATAAGTCAAAAATGACTAATTTACAGAAATAACAAAAAAATCAATTAAATTGATAGTAACTGATTAATTTATATGTATATTTTATTTCAGAAAATGGAGTTATTTTAAAGTAAATTAAAGTAACTTATCCTAAAATTACTTATTTTCTACCTGGGACCAATATCTTATGGACTGGATTAGTTAATGGACCTTTTAATATTGATTATGAAATCGGCCCTTAATAAAAATTTGCATATTTGGAATTTTATGTTTGAGTAGCACTAAAACTGAAAAATCTCGGAAATGTAATACGCCAATGGATTATCGAAATATAGTGTATTAACTAATAATGGTGAATAAGATATACATATTTTTAAGTTAAAAAGGATTTACCGTAAGGGAAGGTATTTAGAAATTTATGTATTTATGAAATTTACTTTATCACTCTGTAGAATGAAAACTGGGACGTTTATATCAAAATTAGATCTAAAAGTCCCCCGGTTTTACGGTACTTTGTTCTGAAACACCCTGTATAAGTGAATTATTTTGCCGTTTAAACTAAGTATGAATATAAATGTTTAATAAATTAGAAGTGTAAAATATAAATAGTTCTTAAGGTAGTTCACAGTAAAATGGCTTTTCTTAAGAATTCAATAAAATTGAAATATAAGGTTAATGAAAGGGTTGTTTACGTAACTAAAAAAAATTAAATTTTTTGACCGTCTGTGAAACGAGATATTAACAATCGAAATGTGCATAATTAACACTGTTGAAGCCTATCATGTATACAAGCAATGCGTTTATTTCAAGATATCTCGAAAACGGTTCTTACTATATTTTTTAAAAACTAATGTTACGTAAATCAAGAAGTTATAAAATTTTCTAAACAATCGCTGAATTTTTTGACCGTCTTAGTAAAAAGATAGATTTTTAAATTAAAAATATTTTTAAAGCAGTTGACGAGTAGTTTCGTAAAATTATTACAACTTGGCAACATTGTAATCACTACACGTAACAAAATAACACTCGATCAGTTAAGAGGCTGTTATAACCTCGCGACGTTTTCTTGAAAAATGAATTCGTTCACTGTGTTTGAGAACTGGAATTAGCGGTTCTGTTTGAACCAAAACAAACCCTTAAAATTAGTATGAGGAAATCACAAATTTCTATACCATATCGTTCATGTACTTGCGAGGTTGCCGGATGAATTTTATTAAAATTATAACATGTCCATATGTGTTTATATACATGTGTTTTGTACAGTCTCTTACAAAAATAAAACTGATTAGCATTGAGCATCTCGAACTTTTGGTATTCACCATTATGCGATATTTTTATGTACGACTGTCGCGAGTGAACTACCTTAAGTATAAATAAATTAATTAGTATGTAGTGTAAATAAATTATAAATAAACTGTTTTAAATACATAAGTAAACTATTTTGAAATAAACAAACGTTACATTAATAAGTACCGTATTTCTATCGTGAAAAAAGAAATGTGCCTTAAAACATAAGTCCGATTTTTCACCAAGGATACCCAATACATGAGAGGTTCCTTTAAACATAAGTTATGTGTTTTAGTACGATCCTAAATTGGAAATAAAATGAAAGTTGAAAAAGTACACTCTCTATTATGCCTGTCTATATCCTACGGTGACTTATGTTCTTTAGGCAGATGATGAGTTACCCAAATTAATTGAGGTTGCCGTGAAAATAATAATATTGGGATTTCGTGACATATGTTCTTTAGTCCGTTTGTCCTAGAATTTCTTCAAAGTGACTTCTTGTATTCGTGTAAACGCACCTTAATAAAGTTTAAGCTGCTAAGCAACAACAAAGAGCAACTGAAATAAGAAGACATGCAAACTGTAACTAAAAATGCGATACTCTTTTGTTAGAGGACTTGGGGTATTTCTATCACTTTATATCATTGTACATGCTTACGGCGGCAGTTTAATACGACCTCCTCGGCGATCAAGAACCGTTACATATCTTATATTCGAACCCGTCATAACAGCGATAAACTAAAAAGGTTCTCAAAACTATTTTCCCTAATTTGGACGGAAGCTTCTGCTACTGACTCGCAGATGAACGCATTTTGTGAACACGACTTATATATTGCAGTGATGCCGATACATATTATAAATCCCGATATGTCTTTTTTTTTTTCGTAGGAATAGAAATAGTATTGGCACAAAAATATTTTATTAAAATGCATCTTTGTTTTAAAAATAACGGAATTTAGAAATGAAAGGCGACTGAGGCTTAACTTTAGCACTATATGTCAGGCCAATGTAAAGGACTGGTGTATTCTTTAATTACGACAAGCATTAGGTTTTACATGATAATATTAATAGAATATTTTGAAGATGCTCCAAAAAAATTACTATATTTTTTATATTTCAATATATTTTTAAAAAAACAGTGAAAAGTATTGATTATACGATGCTTTTTGACATTAGTATACCACGAAAATAATATTTAAAAATAACATGATCTAACTCTGTATAAAATATACATTATTCCAATTATTCATTATCTTTCTCTACTTTGCTAAGATTAACCGGTATAGACGAGCTGGTCGCTTACAACATGTAGAAGCAGAAGACATTAGGAAGAGCCAGTGGCGTCGTGATGTGTGTTTATTATTTAAATATTGGTTAGTTTGTTTAAATTTTTTCTATTTATAGAATTGTTTAGACAAAATGACTAACCGATAATTTTTTATACTTTCAATCAAAAGATATTAGAAAATGAATATTTGGAAATAATAGTCAACTTCAAACCAATCTGATACTTTTAAAATATTTAAATATTTATCATCACAGTTTTCTTTTTTCTTGTAAAGAAAATGGGTTATTTTCCATAGTACTGAAATCCGACAACCGGGGGTTGATAATTAATTTAAATAATTCTTATAGGTATATTACATATTATATTCAAAGTTTTATTTTAGAATTCAAACAACATCCCAGCGTATCCCGCCTCGTAGGCGCCGTTTAAATTACTTCTGGGAAACGGAGTCGACGTTAGACTAGAATGGTCGTAGAACAAAACAGATGTAAAAACTTAAGGGCTATATTCCGGAATTAATACAAAGCTTTAACATCTTTATGCTCGAACGCATCGTCGTTCTCTTTCCGATACATTAGCGTATATGGGAAATTTAAGTATAAATACCCGGGTTTTTGTGGGCTGAAGGAACATTAGCTTTTTCTTCTTCGCCGAGTCGAGTTAACAAAAAGCGTAAATATCCACGTTACCGCCACGGTGACTCCTGTTTCTTTATATTCTTAAAATATAATTAAAAAGAGATATCGCTACCCTTACGGTGGCCACGCTTTTATTATATTTTGGGAACGGAAATAAAATATATTGACGGAGTAGAGAAATTAGTTTCTATAAACGACGGCTTCTGCATAGATATCCAGTTGTCCTTAGGATGACCACCTTTTTCTTATATTTTATATATAAGTAAAAGGAGATATACAGTGAGCATCATAAGTTTTACCCCCCTAACTAACTCGTTACTGGAGTCTTGTTAGGAAAATCGCCGAGACAGGTCGATTTTTGTTTTCTACAATGTACATTTTTGTATGATTAGTTTACCCTTAATTTCATCCCTTAACGGAGGGGAACAACCCTTTCGAAAAATTTAAATGGCATGGGGTGGTGAGTGATAGCTCATTTGAAAGGGGGTTTTATTCTCTATTCAACCGTGCAAAACATTTTTAAATTTGCTTCATTACGAGTTGATTTATTAATGTTTAAAAATAACAAAACCTCACCAACTAAACTAATAGTGACCTTCTAATGGCAAAAAGTCTTACTTCACGTCTGAATCAAAACCGAAATCATGCAGGGCCGAATTTCAATTCTAAGGATGAGTGCGCTACGTTAATTTCCGTTATTCTGAAACAACAATTAGTCGAGAATTAACGAAGCAAATTTCAAAAATTTTTACATGGTTGAATAGAGAATAAAACCCTCTTTCAAATGAGCTATCACTCACCACCCCATGCCATTTAAATTTTTCGAAAGAGTTGCTCCCCTCCAGTAAGGGATGAAATTAAGGGTAAACCATTTATACAAAAATGTACATTATAGAAATCAAAAATCGACGTGTCTCGGCGATTTTCCTAACAAGACTCCAGTAACGAGTTAGATAGGGGGGTAAGACTTATGGTGCTCACTGTATAGTCAGGTTGACCAAGCAGATACACGTTGAGTAGAACCAGATTTCGCTCCTAGAACTGTTTTGTAAGTTTGTATCTACTGAGCGACTAAAATATTGGCGTAACAGATACTGGTGATACCACGCTAGTCTAGTTAAACGCCAGATATTTTGTATCTCCGATCCAACATTATAAAATATTACTAAATGATTAAAAGTACTACTCTAGGCGACGTTCGTAGTGGATTTCGTCACCCTTCAGGCTGACCCGACGAACTTGCGCCCGGTAGACCTTTTATCAGCGGTATACTTTTTTTCTGTAAGGTTTCTTTTACGTAGAATTCAAACGATAATCGCACTATTAAAGTAATCAAACTAGTATTTAATATTCAGATATTCCGGGGGAGAATTTAGACAAACATTAATATGTTACAGGCATCACTTTATTACTTTTATATTCATTAGCGGGAAAATTCGCGACTGTGTGTTATTGTCATATTTTTGGGTATTCATTGGTAAACGTTTATTGCTGGAAAAATTATAGGGTTTTTATATTGTGCTAAATTATGTTATTTAGAGAATCGATAGTGATGTTGTCATAAATATTAATTGTTGTAAAGTCGGTCAATGTTCTCAAGTAATAAATTAAGACATTCAGATTTATGGCCAAAGGACCGAATTGTAAAGTTTCGGTTGTCTGTAAGCAGTACCTGCCCCTTTCAGTAAAGATAAAAAGCACTTTCGGTTTTACTTTTAAATGGCAAACAGATGTAGATTAGTAGGGTAAACGCCTTGATTTGTATATATTTTACAGTTAGATTGGGGTTAAAAAAATATGTTTTCTGTCGTTCTTTGTAAAACAAAATTGGGTAGACAAATGTGTCATTTTAGCCGTACGGAGTTTTAGTTTTGTGTATCGATTTTTCGGGAAAAAGGAGACATGTACAGCGGCGGGTAGAATCATGAATATTTAGGAGGGTCGTATTTATTTGTACATATCCACATATCTTTAGCGGGACATTACGCGGAAGTAGTCGGTATGTTTGTTATTTATTTAGAATAAATAGGTGAAATTATGTTTGTGGACTAGCTAACGTATCCTCAGAACTGTGATTAATAACACTGATTTGTCAATCGACAGAGCAAAAGAGCATCGTGCCAAAAAAGACGCCTTAGGCCACCATAGACCGCCGGGGACCTCAATAGTAAGGGCCAAAAAATAGCATTTCCCTTGCGGCTATGTAAATTAAAGCCTGATAGAGGCTTGGATGGATCTCTACTGAGATACCCCAAAAGTGGGCCTGACGGGCATCCCCCTTTATATCAGGTGTTCTCCGATCGACCGTTTAGTGTTGTCCGTACAGGACTGAGTATGTCAGTAAATTACGGCGTTAGAATATTAGAGAAAGGCTGACGCACGGTGAGGTAAATCTACACTCCGGTTTTTACACATATTAGAAATATTAAATTTAACCGACTTCAAAAAAGGAGGAGGTTCTTAATTCGACGCAATATTTTATCTCACAACACTCCTTGTGCTACCGCTGTACTCTCTTTTATTAGACAATGCGTAATTCAGTAGTTCCGTGGAAACGTGTGATTGTATATTAGGAGACAAACAAATATACCAAAGTACTTCCGACTAGGGACACGAACGATACTTCGATACTAGTAGGGTATCGATACTTTTTTCCGATACCAAGTAATTTTTTTATCGATACTTTTACTAATATCGATACTTTTACTCTTACTAATTAGGGTCCCTAGATTAGAGGACAGTAGCGCAATTGACACCATTTTCACTCCAAAAAACCACAAAACACTAATGCTGCCATCTGTTACTGTTAGATATGTGATCTGTGATTTATGTGAACCGCAACTTATATGACAGTTGCATTTGACAATTGAGATTTGACTCGACATCGACGTGCGCGCCCCGTAAATTTGATCTTTGTTTATTATATGAAAAAGAGTGGGTAAACCGAGGTTTGGTGTGCGCCCGGTGTGCCCACGGCGTATTTTGTGAACGCACCCCAAACCGGAAAGCGCCAAACACCTTAACCTTATTTTTATTTTCTAATAATTGTATTATTATGAATTCTGAATTTTGATATGATTTTGAATTGATTGATACGAATATGAGAATATGACAAAAATTAAGTTTATTTATAGTATAATTATCAATCGACAATCAGTTATAAAATAATTTTACGTGAGTACCAAAAAATGTCTCCACCAAAAAGTAGTGTATGGAAAAACTTTACAAAAATAGACAGTACAACTGCTGCGTGTAAAAAGTGCTTTAAGCATTTGAAATCAAGCGGCAATACATCAAATTTAGCAAAACATTTAAAGCAACATCTCGACAGCGCTAGGGCCGCCAGTACAAGTTCAGTAATTACTAATAGTATTGGTGAAGAGAATAAGAATTCAGAAGAATCAGAACATGATGTAGCTAGTACCAGTTCCAGTAGTTCTCAGACTCAGCTTACTCCCAGTACTCCCACTGAGTAATTTTCAATATTAAAATGCCCTATTATGTTTAATATGCTTGTACGAAGGTAAATTATAAGAAATACAACCTTTTTAGGAATCACAGGCTCTCCTTGTGTGAATGGGCATCAGCACCAAGTACCAGTAGTGCTAAATGCAAGGCACACATTCACGATACTGATACTGACCACCAACTGGACAATCATTTTAACGATGATTTTCAGATGGCCGAGGCTGAGCTAGATATTCGAATGGATATAACAAAGACGAAGAACAAAAATATTGACTATTCAAGGACATCTGCTACTACTACCCCTCTCAAGAGTCCCAAGACATTTACATCTACACCTAGTATTAAAGATGCTTTGAAAAGAATCACATCATATAAAGGTAAAAAATATGTAAATATTATAATATAACCTAAGTATGAAGATAATTTAGTATACTATTTTACCCTATTTTATTTAACAACATATTAATTTTATTACAGAGGGCGGGTCGAGACATGCTGCCATCACCCAATGTATTTTGTACTTTATTTGTAAGGATAACAGACCGTTTTATTCTGTAACTGGGGCAGGGTTTAGAAAACTTATGCATGAAGTATGTCCCTCATATAAAATTCCTCATCCAGATACTTTTAAAGCAAAATTAGTAATAAAATATGATATCATGAAATCCATATATGAGGAACGATTGAGCAAAGTTCCCCATATTTGCCTCACTTTTGACATGTGGACAGAAACAATGCAAACCAAAAGTTTCCTTGGTGTCACAGCCCATTTCCTTACAGGACTAAAATTATCATCAATCACTTTAGCAACTAGACAACTTTTTGAACGCCATACAGGTGATAACATTAGTGAGCAATTGGAGGAAATCCTAAAATATTGGAAGATTACTAAAGAACAGATTGTTGCGGTGGTAACAGATAATGGTGCAAATGTAGTGAGTGCCGTTACAAAATCATTTGGACGAAACAAACACATGCCTTGCTTTGCCCATACGGTAAATTTAATAGCAGAAGTTATTACCAAAGATCCCTTAATTTTGCCAATTTTGTCTAAAGTGAGAGATATTGTGAAGTGGGCTAAGCGAAGTGTGACAGTTAGCGACAAGTTGAGAAAAATACAGCTTGATAATGAAATGTCTAATGGAATAACAAAAAAACTTATTCTTGATGTACAGACTAGATGGAATAGTACATATTATATGCTGGAAAGATTTTCTGAACTTGTCACAGCTGTTAATCAAGTTATTATAAATGACACTGCAGCTCCACCAATGTTAACAGCCACAGAGCGGGATTTAGCTAGACAAATTCAAATTGTTTTGAAACCATTAGAATTTGTGACTAGAGAGGCTTTTGGAGAATTGTACAATACAATATCCAAAATAATACCAATGGTTAACTGTTTAAAAAACCAATTACGAAATATAACATCAGAATTGGAAATTGTTATGGCATTGAAAAAAAAGTTACTTGATGAAATAACTAAAAGGTTTGGTAAAATGGAATACAATTACTTTTTATCAGTGTCAACTTTACTGGATCCACGCTTTAAAAGAATTCACTTTGAAGACCCACTCGCTTGTTCTAAATCAATTGACTACATCAGGAAGATAATTGCTAGCCAACAAAGTTCCAGTGAGTCAGAAGGAGATGATTCACCAACACGACCATCTATATCAGAAGAACAAAAGAAATATGATTTTTGGAATTACCACAAAACACTGGCACATGCTCAAAATCAGAAAAGCCAGCAGACTACTTCAAAAATCAATGATGAGCTGACAGTTTATTTATCCAATCCAGTCATGCCACTTAATTCCGACCCAATGACTTACTGGGAGGAAGTAAAACAAGTATTTACGTCTCTCTACAACCTAGCCATTTCCCATTTTTGTATTGTTGGGACATCAGTACCCTCAGAAAGGCTTTTTTCCAAAGCCGGTGGTACTGTAACTCAAGACAGAAATCGCCTTTCGAGTGAGTTGCTAGAAAGATTATTATTTTTAGGAGATTGTACTGAAGACGAATGGTTTGGATAGGTTGTATTTTTAATTGTGTCATATATTTTGAATATGTATTTTCAATAATACTACAAATGTTCAATAAGTTGTATTATCTATATTATTTGTTAAGTGTTACATAATAAACTTTTTTCGAAATAAATAATTGCCATTATTAACATGTGATGTGTTTAATTTTTAATCTAAAGAAAAAATATATTGGGTATTTCATTTCATAAAGTTTATTTAATTTTAACATTGATTTTAACCTATCCTATAAGTAAAAGCTATTGGATCATTTGCAGAAAAAAAATGTTGCAAGAGAAGAGTAGAATCTAAATTTTGTCATTAAAAAACAAAGCTATAGTTTCATTTTTTCTTACAAAAAAGATCTGTTTCACACTTTACAATTTTTTTATGTTAGGTTGGGTATCGATACTTCGTGGTATCGATACTTTTTTCCGATACTTCGTGGATATCGATACTGCTCAAACGATACTTATTCGATACCGAGTATCGATACTTTTTATCCGATATCGTATCCCTACTTCCGACTTTTATTTTACCATTTTATGGGAACTAAAAGCTACGAGGTTAGAAATGACACATTAGAAAGCCTACTTAAACATAATGTTAAGCCTAAAAATGGCACATAATCTAAATGTTCGGCTGTACAAAAGATTAGATGTTAAATAAACAGTATTCAAAATTAATCTCGGTGTTTCCTTTGTTCTTCCTCCATTACAGCTGCATTGAACTCTTCACGAAATTCTGGGGGTTTTAACATCACTTCGTGGGGATCTACTGCGAAATTTAGGCCAAGGTTATAAGTATTTGCAAAACTAGGTCAGGGTCCGGTTTGTCAAGTTACAGTACATAGGGATATTTTAATTTTTTTCTCGTGTATTGATTGAAACAGTGTTTCGATTATTTTGTTCAGGTTTAGGATGACTTTTTAAAATAGCGAATGAACCAGAATTATTACTAATTGTACCTTAACACATTGTCCAAATGTATTTTTATATAACCGATCTTCGTTCTTCCTATATATACTTTCAAAAGCAATAGAGGTACCTATACATATATTTAAATACCAAACATGTTTTTTTTAAATTTATTTTCTTTTTCAATAATGAACATAATTATGACAACCAGTTTAATTTATGTAACTAGTTACTTAAAGTAGGCATGGATTATTTGGACACTTTAGATTACAAAAAATGTTACTTTGTAAGACAAATTAGAAGAAAATTTTTATTAAATACTTATTAAGAATAAATGTAAATAAATTTTTATCTTGATTGTTACCTTCAGTGTTGCTATTTTTAAAGGGCTTGGAGATAGTGTCATTTGTCCTATTCCTAAAATATCTAATCCTAGTTCAGTATGAGACTTACAAACACATTTGGTCTACTTATTGATCAGTCTCTTAGATTCATAGTCACATTAAGACCTTGATCAAGAGATATTACTCAAGATTGCGGCTAATTTACATTAATAGGCATATATTAAACTTTGAAATGAGAAAAAAACTTTGTGAACATTTAGTTTTATCAATATTGTGACGAAAGTCTAATTCATTTTAAGTTTATTTATTTAAAAACACACTATTTACAATTTATTTCAGACGTATTATTTAATTTATATAATATTTGAACACTAACTAACAATTCTAATTTATTTCTTACACTTTTACTTTTCAATACAACGCTTTAAACTAAACTCGGCGCTGATCGTCGACTATTTATATAAATCCAACTCCGCTACTGGAAAATGCCAGAGCCTCGCGAAGATTCTACAACGATGAGTAAACGGCACTCCCCCGCCATTCCAGCTGTTTCTAGCCCCAACGGCAGGCATCCCGTACATTCGAGAAGCGGTCCAATTGTTTCCACACGTCAGCGTTGCTTCGATCGCGAGTTGGTTGTCATGTGAAGGCCGCGTGCGTACACAGGCACAGGGTCGTATTAGGAATATCATAACAATATTGAGTTATTACAATATTGTTTGCTATCCTTGTCTGGACAAAGTGTTACAGATCCAATTACAGCTCATAAAAAATGCTTGTTGCAGATTCATTTTTAGTTCCAGGAAATATTATATTTCAATTTATTTCTCACAGTTGAAATGGCTCAAAGTTGTAAATTTATAGCAACTAAATATTTTATTATGTTTGCATAGACTATTAAACACAAGGCCTATTTGTTTGAGAACTTTTAAAACATCAGTTCATAATGTTTATATTAGACAAAATATGGGTACAAATGCCTCATCACTCTACTGCAAAGTTTGAAAGAGGTTTCATTTATAATGTGGTTAAAGTATATCATCAGTGTTATTTTCTAAATTGGAATGCATCATTGCATATTTTTAGACGTTAGATTAAACATTATTTTTAGGCTGAAGGATAACCTGTTTTTGTTTGGATTTCTCATTATATTTCAATTCTTGTTCTTTGTAATTATGTAATACATTATTTTGTTTTTATTTTTTCGTGACTTACTGTTATTAATACTATTAGACTACGGATCATTATGTTATTATTATACTCTTCACACACTAGTCTATGAAGAGTATTATAGGTTTACTTCCGTCCAATATCACGTTTTTTGTCAGCACGATAAGTCAAAAACGAAAAATGATATCAACTTGAAAATTTCAGGAAAAATCAAGCTCTATAAAGGGACGAAGTCTATTGATTTTGAAAAAAATCTGAATAAAAATGGGGGGTTAAGAGGGGTTGAAATAAAAAAAATAGAAATCAAATACCAAAAGCAATATCAACATTTACTAAAAATCAAGCTCTAAGGAAATACAGCCTATTGATTCTGAAAAAATCTGAATAAAAATGAGGGATAAGGGGGAGTTGAAATATTGAAAAAATACTATGTCAACTAGGAAGGTTAAGGGTTAGGAGTAGCTGTATAGCTCCTTCGCTTCCCTGGTGCAAATATATGTATACATTTGTTTTAAATAAAGATGATATTATTATTATTAAATGTTTTATTACTTTTGAAACAAAAATAACTTACAACAGCACTTACCCAATATTTCCAGTCATACCAATGTAGTTTAGATTATGCTTAGAAGCCTCCACTTCCCTAGGATCACTCTCGGTAACATCTTCCATATTGAAAATTTCCCTTTGTCTGAACTTGGCATTATCGTCAAAATTGAGTTTAGCATCTACAGAAATTACTTTATTATCATCAGTTTCAACCAATGGATTGATTTCAAGCTGAGTAGCATCAACAGCTACAAACAGATTCCACAACTTTTTAATTTCTTCACTAGCTTTAGATTTTAAATCTCCTTTAAATTCTAGAAAATCGGCTAATTCATTGGCCATTTCATCAGTTATGCCTTCGAATATGTCTATAGGAATAGTTTTAATTAAATGAGGAGTTTTTTCAGCCACGCCTTCAATATCTACACCTCCCGCAGGTGAGGCTATTATCACTGGCCCATTTCTTTGTCTGTCCATAAGTATACAGACATATGTTTCTCTTTGTATGTTCACGCTTTCAGCAACCATTATTTTGCTTACTTCTATACCATCTTTTGGAGTCTGTTTTGTTATTAACTTGTATCCCAACATTTGCTTAACTATGTCGCTTATATCATTACGGCTAAAACGAATGTCTATTATTAACAATTAATATTTTCGATAACACATTGTACATTTTGATGGTGTTATTAGTAGAACTCATATGTGTTAATCTCATTCAGAAATATATCCCGTAACTTACTGTTTTTTGTGCACTTACCTATAGATGAATAACTTCAGGTATATAAAAGTATATACAGTGAGCATCGTTAGGAAAATCGCCGAGACACGTCGATTTTTGATTTCTAAGATGTATATTTTTGTATGAATATTTTACTCTTAATTTCAACCCTTACTGGATGGAAGCAACCCTTTCGAAAAATTTAAATGACATGGGGTGGTGAGTGATAGCTCATTTAAAAGGGGGTTTTATTCTCTATTAAACCGTACAAAAAATTTTGAAATTTGCATTATTACGTGTTGATTTATTAAGAGCAATCCAGTCCCTTCTGACGTCACACCGCACGGATCTAACGACCTCTCCTTAAAGTATTTGGAACCTTGTTCGCTACATAAATTTGGCAATGTCGTTTGTCGTGCGCTGAAGAATAATCATAGGATTGGGTAAGGTCCGATTACAATTACATGAACACAGGTATATATATATATATATATATATATATATATATATATATATATATATATATATATATATATATATATATATATATAGTATTCCTACATTCCTATAATATTAACAAGCCACTAACACCCCAGTAATTCGTTGGCTATCGCTGCCTACTGGGGTGTTAGTGGCTTGTTAATATTATAGGAATGTAGGAATACTATTTTTAAACCAAACACTCAAATATTTTTTATTTATTGATAGTTATAGATGATATACAGGGTGTCCCGAAATTAGACGGTCATATTTTAACAGCGTAATCTACATCCTAAAATAGTAGTAAAAGTTCATATAAACATAGGTCCGAAAACGTTTCTTTTCCGAGATACAGGGTGTTAAAGGTGAAGTCCTGATACCACAATTTTGTAAATATTTTCTAAACGTTTAAAGATAATTAGGTAAAATTTACTACAAATACTTACCTTTTAACGCTCCATTTATTGGACTAAACCCCAGTTTTTGATCATCTTCTTAGGTGGGTAAATTAGGGGGAGTTTTTTTTGTTGATAGTTTTTAACATTTTTGACTATAAAATTTGGAAAACCAATATTTTCTGTATGATATAGCTGAATTTGTTGCATCTCGCTAGGACGCGCGATTTTCAAGAGAAAAGCATGTTACCTTATTCGAAAGTGTAAACAATGATTAGTAGGTCTGTAGAATCAGAAATATTACCATCTGGATTTCACTTGTAACACCCTGTATCTCGAAAACGAAACGTTTTCGGACCTATGTTTATATAAACTTTTACTCCTATTTTTAACCGACTTCAAAAAAGGAGGAGGTTCTCAATTCATCGCAATATTTTTTTTAATTTTTTTTTATGTATGTTCAGCGATAATTCTTTAACACGGTGTCCGATTTCAATGATTTTTTTTTGTTAGAAAGGGGGTACTTCAGGGGTGGTCCCATATAAATTTGGTCAAAATCTCATAAATGGGCCCATGAGAAAATCCTCAAACTCTTTATTTTTTATGTATGTATAGCGATAATGCTTTACCACCTTGTCTGATTTATATGATTCTTCTTTTGTTAGTAAGGGGGTACTTCAGGGGTGGTCCCATATAAATTTGGTTAAGATGTGGTGACGGCATCTGCACGTTTTTGAATTCGGTTTTTTGACATTTTTAATTTCTAATACTTGTAGGATGTAGATTACGCTGTTAAAATATGATCGTCTAATTTCAGGACACCCTGTATATTGGAAATTCGAAATAATAGTTATGACGTAGTAGTGTTCTTTAATTGTAATCGGACCCTAGGTATATGGATACGGAATTGGATGAATTGGAGATAGGTAAATTGTATTTATTGCATTAAAGGAACAACAAATATAAGTACAATTAAATAATTATATTATATAACAATTTTTTAATGTCTGTAATAAAAAAATAACTATTAAAACAAGAAATGTTAATTTTTTCTCTTTTACAACACAAAATATACAATACTGTTGAATCAAAATTTTCTCTTGACAGCAGGTGGTTTTTGTGACGAAACAATTATGATGCTTTGCATCTCATGAATTAAAGCTAATTCTCTTTCAATCTTAAGGTGATCACACCCCTTATAATTTTTGGACAAGAATATCTCAAAATATTTAAATTTTGGCAAAATAAATTAGGCGATAATATCTAGAATATGCATCTATTTTAATGTTTTAATTCCTTCCAGTTTCCGAAAAAAACTAAAATGTGTTGCTAATTTCACCCCCCTATAATGTAACAGGAATATTGAAAAAATACCCGTGGTTAGTCCTTTGCGATTACAGAATTTCAAGTTTCTGGCTTTACTGAAATTTTAGAAAAAAATAAAAACAATTTTAGCCACCACCTATTAAGGGTGATATCTCGAAAAGGGGTGGGCTGAGGAAATTTTGTTATAGGAAAGACCCATCTTAATTTCATACGAGCAATCACCTTCTGAATTTTGTCGCATGTATTTAGAAGCACCCTGTATATTACACATTTTTTTAAGCGGGCAAAATTCTTGACAATCTCTTTTCCCTAATTGGCACATGTCGTATATCTCTAGGATTTACTAACTCTGGCAGCAAACAATTAAACTAGAAATTTGTCAGCTGTGGTAGTATGTTTGCGTTCCACAATTTTTCATTTCATAAATTAACTAAAAACTAAATTAAACAAAAACCTAACAACGCCTCAACAACGAATTAAGACGATCACAATAATTTCGCACCTCTTCAAAAACAACTACCAATTTTTCGACACAGGAATTAACAAATTTAACTAAACAGCAGCAACCCTTTTAACCACGGGCTTCATAGACTAGCAGCGTTGCCATATTTACTGGTATCATTGTTTTAATAGAATTAGTATCGGAATGAAAACTATGTTAATCTTTTGTCCTGTTTAAAATTGGTAATCTTTTTAAAAAAAAGTTATTTAGAAAATAGTTAAGATATTTGTTATAAAATGACGCTAAAGAGCCAAAAAATTAAATTTGTTAAGAAGTTGAAATTTTTGTTGTTTATCTTTAAAAATATAAGTTTTTCGCGATTTAGCGTCATTCTTGGTTCATTTTTAGAACGATTGGCCTGAACCATTTTTTTTTTACAATTTATTTTAACTGCCTCAAATGTAAAATTGATTTTTGGCGGAGGAGCGCCCGTCATCTTTGCTCTTAATGTTTAAAAATAACAAAACATCACAAACAGGAAAACAACTACATTAACAGTGACCTTATATAATGGCAAAGTCTTACTTCACGTCTGGACCAAAACCGATATCATGCAGGGCCGAATTTTAATTCTAAGGATGAGTGCGCTACGTTAATTTTCGTTATTCTGAAACAATAATTAGTCGAGAATTAATGAAGCAAATTTCAAAATTTTTTGCACGGTTGAATAGAGAATAAAACCCCCTTTTAAATGAGCTATCACTCACCACCCCCTGCCATTTAAATTTTTCGAAAGGGTTGCTCCCCTCCAGTAAGGAATGAAATTTAGGGTAAACTATTCATACAAAAATGTACAATGTAGAAATCAAAAATCGACGTGTCTCAGCGATTTTCCTAACAAGACTCCAGTAACAAGTTAGATAGGGGGGTAAGACTTATGATGCTCACTGTATAACTACAAGTGTAGTAGCGAAGAATACTCAACAATAAGTTCGTTTCACAGAAAATGTAATAGAAGACCTGCAGCAGACAGGGTTTAGAAAAGACAAAAGCATACAGGAAGGACAATATATTCACAAAAAATTACTGAAACAAACGCTATGTAGCACTTCTGTACCTTGAAAAAGCATTCGATAATACATGCAGATGATTAGTATGGATAAGCCTAAGATGAAGATTGACATTAGCTATAAGTCTGTATAAGTCTTAGTATATATAAGGTTGCTTACGTAAGGACATGCAATAGAGTGTTAAAATAGTTCGAATTTCACAAAGATTGAGAGAAGGTGTATTGAACTCTATTTTGTTTACATTATTTACGGATGATGTAACAAAAAAAACTAAAAACAATGTCTTAAAAAATATGTTTAAAACATTCTTTAATTTTGTTTGCACCATATTCACGCACCAGTTATATTAAATTGCTTTTAAAAGGAGTATATTAATAAATAAATAATAAAAAATCTGGTGTAGCTTCTATTAGATAACTAGGTATATTTTATAATTGTTACACTTACTTTTGTGTGATATGTACTCCTCCTTTAAATCCATTATTAAAGTGGCCTTTTCCTCTACCTCCTGCTAATATTTGTGCTTTTATTACATATTCTTTAACGTCTGTAAGAAAATAAATATAAACTATAGTGGAATAAATAGATGCAGTAACACAATACTATTTTTGAAAATGCATCTAATAAGATGATTATTAGAAAAATAAGGAAATACTTCCTTAGAGAGCACAGTTAAAATGGTGGTCAGCATAGATAAAGGTAAGTACAGTGCAACCTCTTTAATCCGAACACCTAATTGTCAGACCTTGTTCGGATTAACGACTCTTACACCTCTTACACATTTTTAGACCTTTAGATATATGTATCTATATTGATTTTTGTACATTTAAATGCATTATCAAACTACATATGTATGTATATAAATGTAATGCAGGTCTTTTCTTGTCAGCGTTCGGATTACAGAGGCGGCGTTCGGACTATCTCGCATCACGATTTGCGTTCGGATTAGCGTAATACGGATTAGCGTAATACGGATTAGCGTGGGTTCGGATAATCGAGGTTGCACTGTATATGAATATTAAAATGTTTAGGAAAACAAGGTTTTTATATTAAATTAATAAATATATCTGAGATAAATCTGGGGTTTACCCAACGAAGAAAAACCACTAGACTAATCGATTCATTCATAATTAAGCCCTTATTTATTCCAAGCATTCAGATTGGGTTTTGTATCAGGCAGGCAGAGCTTTCTCATCTAATGCTGCATTAGACAGAGCGAGATGGCTGTCAATTTGAGTGAGGATGGATGCACGAGTTTATCTGAGGCGCGAGCACACGTTTGATGAATTGATTAGTAATTACGTCTACGACGCCTGCTTTAGCCCTCTTTCACACGAGGATACTGAATGCGAGATACGCGTATCCGAGATACAGAATCGCAGATGAAAAGTTGGACTGCTGTATCGAATTCACGCATCTCTTCAATCAGTACTGAAATAGTCGCAGTGCCGTGCATAGATTTTTGAATTATAGATTTAGAACTGTATTGGTACTGTGGTATAAGTATTAAGAAAAAAGTAATTTGTGTCCTGTATCCCATAAACAGGGATTAGGCTTAGGACTTGGCGATTATCAAAATAAATAATCGATTATTTTCGATTATTAATCAATCGAATATAATCAATTCATTAAAATATTCGATTATTCGGAATATTCGATAAATCGAAATTATCTATTAATCGAAAATAATCGATTATTTGGAATATTCTAAATATCTAAATAATCGATTAATCGAAAATAATCGATTTATCAAAAATAATCTAACAATCAATTAATCGAAAATAATCGATTTATCAAAAATAATCTAACAATCAATTAATCGAAAATAATGGATTAGTAGAAAATAATCGATTAATCGAAAATAATGGATTAGTAGAAAATAATCGATTAATCGAAAATAACCAATTGATAGAATATAATCGATTATTCGAAAATATTCTATTAAAAATAATCGATTTAACGAATAAAAAAATTGATTAATTACAAATCATCGATTTATCGAAAATTATAGTTTGATCGAACATAATCGATTAATCGGAAATAATCAATCGAAAATAATCGATTAAACTAAAATAATCAATTATTCGATTAATCTAAAATATTCAGTTAATTACAAATAATTGATTAATCGAAAATAATAGATTAATCTAAAATAATAGATTAACTGAAAATAATCGAAGATAATCAATTGGTCGACCATATTCGATTAGTAGAAAATAATCACACACACACACACACACACACACACACACACACACACACACACACACACACACACACACACACACACACACACACACACACACACACACACACACACACACACACACACACACACACACACACACACACACACACACACACACACACACACACACACACACACACACACACACACACACACACACACACACACACACACACACACACACACACACACACACACACACACACACACACACACACACACACACACACACACACACACACACACACACACACACACACACACACACACACACACACACACACACACACACACACACACACACACACACACACACACACACACACACACACACACACACACACACACACACACACACACACACACACACACACACACACACACACACACACACACACACACACACACACACACACACACACACACACACACACACACACACACACACACACACACACACACACACACACACACACACACACACACACACACACACACACACACACACACACACACACACACACACACACACACACACACACACACACACACACACACACACACACACACACACACACACACACACACACACACACACACACACACACACACACACACACACACACACACACACACACACACACACACACACACACACACACACACACACACACACACACACACACACACACACACACACACACACACACACACACACACACACACACACACACACACACACACACACACACACACACACACACACACACACACACACACACACACACACACACACACACACACACACACACACACACACACACACACACACACACACACACACACACACACACACACACACACACACACACACACACACACACACACACACACACACACACACACACACACACACACACACACACACACACACACACACACACACACACACACACACACACACACACACACACACACACACACACACACACACACACACACACACACACACACACACACACACACACACACACACACACACACACACACACACACACACACACACACACACACACACACACACACACACACACACACACACACACACACACACACACACACACACACACACACACACACACACACACACACACACACACACACACACACACACACACACACACACACACACACACACACACACACACACACACACACACACACACACACACACACACACACACACACACACACACACACACACACACACACACACACACACACACACACACACACACACACACACACACACACACACACACACACACACACACACACACACAGACATCATCGCGAAAATAGTCAAAACGGATTCAGGGGACCTCAAAACGTAAAAATCCGTCGAAAACTCGAGGTCGAAAAAAATCATGATTCCTATACTTTCCTTATATCTGTATACAGATAGGAAAGTAAAAAAACTATAACACACCCATTCTATATAAATTAAAGGGTAACAAATGACACTTGTGTTATTAGGATTTTATAAATAGTGATTTATAAGAAAAAATATTTCTCATTTCATTTATTTAAAATTTATACAATCATTTCTTATATTTAACCCATTCTGCTTTTCTGAGGTTACTTTTGAAGATAAGTTGAAAATTTGTAACAAAGAAAAGGTAATACAAACGAATGTATTATATACAGTGAGTACGAAAATTGTACCCTCCACTATTTTACCTTCTAAATGAAAAATGATAATGGCAAAACAAAAACGAGGTAAATCTCAAGAGATATTATATTTTTGTTATAACGAGATGCACTTTACTTGGGATACGTAAGATAGAGGGAGTTACTAGCTCTAAATTTTCTAATGGAAAGTAGTATCATGTAATACCTTATTTGAAAGATATTTTCTATATTTTTACTTTCCTATCTGTATACAGATATAAGGAAAGTATAGGAATTATGATTTTTTTTCGACCTCGAGTTTTCGACGGATTTTTACGTTTTGAGGTCCCCTGAATCCGTTTTGACTATTTTCGCGATGATGTCTGTGTGTGTGTGTGTGTGTCTGTATGTCGCATAACTCATGAACCGATACACAGAAAAAGACCAAATTTTAAACTTAAGCTTTATTCCAGCGTCTAATGAACTGATTAGATTTTGGGCAGAGTCGGAACATCTGGGGGGGTACTTTATAGGTGGTCATTTTTATATTTTATAGAATATATCTGTTATTTACGTTTGGAGAAGAAAATTCTTCAAATAAAAGTTACTTCTAATATAATTATCTATAATTTTTGTTCTATACAAAATTTTCCTAAAATGGTCCGTATTCGAGAAATTTGACAAAATGTAAAAAAAATATTTTTTCATAAAAATTGTTCAAATAAAAGTTGTTTGTAATATAATTCTCTATAATTTTTAATCTATACATAATTTTTTTAAAATGGACCGTATTCGAGATATTTGAGAAAATGTGTAAATTTCGAATTTTGAAGAACTCAAAAGCGGATAAAGAAAAAATCATTAAATTTTAAACTTAAGGTTTATTTCGGCCTGACGTGAAATTATTAGATTTTGGACAAAGTCGGAACATCTAGGGGGGTACTTTATGGGAGGCCGTTTTTATATTTTATGGAATATATCTGTTAGTTATGTTTGGAGAAGAAAATTGTTCGAATAAAAGTTACTTCTAATATTATCTATAATTTTTGTTTTATGTCAAAATTTCCTGAAATGGTCCGTATTCTAGAAATTTGACAAAATGTGCAAAATTCTGATTTTTATGAAAATTGTTGAACTAAAAGTTGTTTGCGATATCGATCTCTATAATTTTTGTTTATACATGATTTTTATAAAAATAGACCGTAATGGAAAAGTGCTAAATTTAAATTTTTCAGTATTTTCGTTTTCAATGAATATCTATAGAAAATGGTTCGACGTAGATGTATGTGTACAATGTATATATTTAGTTTATCCTTATAAAATTTATAGAGATGCTGCAATAGGTTGTACAAAATAACCGGAAAAAGCCTATAATAACTAGATAGGAAAGTCATGTGTTGGACACATCAGATTTTTACGTTCATGTAAACAGATTTAGGTTTTTATGTTTTTACAGAAATTACATTAAATAAATTCTAAATTCATAAAGTAGGTTAAATTCTTTTTTGTATTTGCAGCTTCAACCTCAAAGGATCATTTCCGGAGGTATAATACCTTATAAATGCTCTTTTTTACAATAGTATACAATGGATAATTAACATTTTGGCTAGTACACAGTAAATTTCAGT